GATGGGGTAAATGGGTAAGGGGCACTAAGGAATCTACTCCTGAAATCATTGTTGCACTATATGCTAACTAATTTGGATGTAAATTTTAAAAAATAAAAAATAAAATTAAAAAAATTAGTATTACTCAAGCTAAATAAGGTTTGTCAAACCGAATACATATAATATCACCTAGGTTTACAGTACAATTTGCACCTGTAGATCAAAGATACATAGTGTTATCTGGGGGAAATGACCAGACAGAAAAACTAGAGGACAGCAAGCCATATGGGTTAAAAGAACAGCCTTAAGATTAGTTTCATTTTTCTGAGATGGCAATCACTTTCTGGCAGGAGTCCAGAATCTACTATGTGAGAACTCCAAGTGCAATTGGGAAAATTTTCCGAACAAGATGTTAATACACGACTGTGATTCTCATATCTTTTTTTTTTTAATTTATTTTTAATTTTTTTTATTTCTTTTAAAGATTTATTTTTTTAATTTATTTTTTTCAGTATATGAAGTTTATTGTCAAATTGGTTTCCATACAACACCCAGTGCTCATCCCAAAAGGTGCCCTCCTCAATACCCATCACCCACCCTCCCCTCCCTCCCACCCCCCATCAACCCTCAGTTTGTTCTCAGTTTTTAAGAGTCTCATATCTTAATAAATGTAGGTCACCCATTTTCTTCTCTCTTGAGACTAGAATTTGAAACATCTCAGTATACTAGGAAAATTTCAAAATTTATGGCTGTGGCATTTGCAGCATTTGTCTCTGCATCTTTCCTTCTATTTGTTTTAGGTCCACCATGTATGTTTAAAAACATTGGTTACCTTTAAAGCATTCAAGATTCCTTCCATGGCCTACATGACACTGTGTAATTGACAACCTGTCCTGTGTTAAGTATGGGCTCTCATTCTACCCTCATTTGTGATGTATATTCCACATCAATAATAGGCAATTCTCAAAGCAATCTCTTTGGCATTGTATCCCCAGATATTCCATTATTCTCCTTTTTTCTTTGTATTTTGCTAATCGGCCAGCCTCCCATATCTTTCTTAAATATATATTCTCTTTACCATGTCCAAGACTTTTGAGTCTGTCTTATGCTAGGGAATTCTTTAGGCCATCAGGATAGCTGTTTCATGGTTTTCTATTTTTAACTCGGAAGAAGAATTCTTCACCAAATATTTCTAAAGAGGAAATCCTGTTCCAATGCTTTTCAAGAATATGTTCTTGGAGTTCCAGCGAGGAGCAAAATCTTCACCCCACATATTCCTTCTTCATTCTCGAGTGTGGAGTTCCTGTATTCAGGGTGATCTTTTGTACTTCCATGCTATCACAAACATCAATTTCTGCTACAAGCTATCTCTTTACTTTCTCAAATATTTATCTGTCAGTTTAATACTTTAAGATTCCTCTGAAGTTTTGCCCATTTCAAATCTTTCTTTACCATATGCAGTGTTAATGCTATGGCCTATATTTGAATTTATATTTATATTTTGCTGGCATACCAATTCCTGAAGCCTTTTTGTGTGAAAACATATTTGCCCAATGTCTATGAGGGCTTCTTGCAAACTATCAATTTCTCCAGCATGAATCTCTCCACTGCATTAAAAATTTGCATTACACTATAGATGCTTGCTGCCACAGAATGGAAGCTGATTGGCAATTGAAAACAGCAATTCAGCCTACGTTGTGAAAGAAATCTATTAAACTGATTTCTCCCACCTCCAGCTACCATCATATCTAGTTAACTCTAAGCACGCACTAATCATCATGTCTGTCGTTTCTTCACTAACCCAGTGTTCTCCACATTAGACTTTGAAAAGACTGAGGGGCATTCATCATTTTGTTTTTATAATATTTGTGTAAATATAAATTTTTTCAAGTAGTCCTATTCCAGTGTTATTTTTGTAAGTTCAGATTACCCTTCCTTTGTTGTTAATTCTCCTTCCCCTTCTGCCAAAAAAATGTAAAGTGTATTCTCTGTACTTCCTGTTATCCCTTTCCTGCTGTCTATTCCACCCACCTAAAAATTCTTTCCCAGACAGCATGGGAACTACCATCTTCAACTACTACCCCTTTCTTACCGCCCCCTTTCTAGGGTAGCTGAGTGATTAACTTTTGCATCAGAAAGGCTTGGATTCAGATCCTGCCTCTCTTCTGTTACAAGTTACATGAAAATGGGGAAGTTAACTTTTCTGAATCTCATATGTTAAAGAGTGATGATAATTATTAATTAATAGGATTACTGTTCTGTGCAGATGAGATAACCTATAGCAGACATAGAGAAGAGTCTAATATTCCTCCATTTTCTTGATGTAATTAACTGATCACCAAAAGGTACTCACCAAAATGTTGAATTTCTAAATCTTGATCAGAAGACTTTCAGTAACTAAAGTTCAAGTTGTAACTGGATTTTAATATCAATGCTAATGCGACTATTTATTGGTTATACCCCTGATGGCTGCTTATCCTTTTACATCATTAGGAAACACAACCAGGGATGTCAAGAAGAATGAGTTCACCACTGCAAATGCAACAGTGACAAATCCTCCACTTTCCAACGCTGCTTCAACATCACAGAGTTCCCAACACAAGAGTAAGTGTAAAAATTCATGCTGAAATGTTAAATTTGTATGTTGGATAGCATTAAATTCAGAACATTTTCCAGCCCACAGCTACCGAAGAACCATGCCCCCACCTGTCTTATCTGGTCTCTACCAAATTGGACAACCATTTGGCAACTTGGCTTTGTACCGTGATACTTTATCCCTCCATAACCACAAATGCGTGGGTGCCAGGAAAGATCACTTTAAAGCCAAACAGTAATCTATGATATCCCCTGACACAAAGCACAAAAAGTGACCTTGGCAACAAATTAGAAAACTTTGATGAAATGGGAAAATTCTTAGAAAGAAACAAATTGCTAAAAATGACTCAATAAATAGGTAGTCTGAGAAGATATAAAAACAATTAAAGATATTGCATTAGAAATTTTAAATGGTCCCATGAAGAAAACTTCAAGCAGGATGGCTTCAATTCTGAATTCTATATTCAAAAGAAATGATACCATTCTTCCCAAATCCTTTCAGGAAGAGGAGGAAAGAACACTACAGAAGTAATTGTTTGAGGCCAGCTTTATCCTCGTACCAAAGCTAGAAAAGAATGAAAAGAAAACAAAATCAAGTAAAGAAAACCAATATCCTTCATGAACATCGATGCAACTATCCTTAATAAAATATTAACAAACCAACTTTAGCAACATACAGAAAGGGATAGAAAACATAAATAAGTGATTTTCATCCAGGAATGTATGACTGGCTTATTACATGAAAATCAAGTAGAGCAACGCACTATATTGGTGGAGTCAGTAGATGCAGAAAAAGCATTTGACGAAATTTAGTACCCACTTTTAATTAGAAAATTCAGTAAACTAGAAATAAAGTGTAATTTCCCCCTACTGAAAAGGGTATCTATGAAAACATCATCCTTAATAGTGAAATATTTCATGGTTTCCTCTTAAGATCTTGAACACAGCAAAGAGTCCATTCTTTTCAAAATTATAACCAAGGGTCCTAGATAGGACAATAAGGTGATGACAGGTAGGTAGGTAGGTAGGTAGGTAGGTAGAATAGACAGATAGATAGATCCATTCATACAGATTTGAAAGGAAGAAATAAAACAGATTTTCATAGCATACTATATCATAATTTATGTAGAAAACCAAAAAACTCAGAAACTACTAAAGCTAATAGAGTATTTCCTATCACAAGATATAAGAGATACAAAAATAAACCATATTTCTGCATGTTAACAATGACAATTCAAAAATAAAATGAAGGGAATAGTGACATTAACAAAAGCACCAGAAAGAATAAAATATTTAGGAATATATTTAATAGTAGAAGTGTAAGATTTGCACAATGAACTATTGTTCTGCGAGATATTAAATATCTAAGTAAATGGAAAGATATTACATATTCATGGATGGAAAGACTCAATATTTTAAGTTGGCATTCCCCCCCATTGATAAATATTTGACTAATTTATTCAATTCAATTTCTATCAGAATCACAGAATCACAGCAAATCATTAGAAATTGATAAGATGATCCTAAATAATATTTGGAAATGAAAAATACCTAGAATAGCTAAAACTATTTGGTCAAGGAAGAGCAAAGTTGGAGGACTTACATAAGCTAACTTCGAACCTTACTCTAAAGCTATAGTAATCAAGACAGGTGTTTTTGAGACATTATTAATAGTAACAATATTCATAATAGTCACACTGGAAACAATCCAAATGCCCACTAACTGGTGTGATGGAATATTCCATTGGTTTTTCCATTTGAAATGGGTTTGGATTATTCTAAAACAGGATATCCATACAATGGGCTACTATTCAGCAATTTAAAGGAACAAATTACTGATGCATGTGGTAATACCATGAACCTCAAAACCATTATGCTCAGTGAAAAAAGCCTTTTAAAAAACACCACATATTGTATAATTCTATTTATATGAAACATCCAGAATAGACATTCTTATAGGGTCAGAAACCACATAAGTAGTTGCCTAAAGCTGGAGGTGGAACTGGGGATTGACTGCAGAAAGTCCCAAGGGAGTTTTTTATGTTGAAAATAGTCTAAATCTGGATTACAGTCTTGGTTGTACAGCTCTATAAATTTACTGAAAATTATTGACTTGTACACTTAAAATAAGTGAATTTGGTTGTGAATTTCTTTATAAAACTTTATCTAAAAATAAAAGGAGGGGCACCTGAGTAGCTCAGTTGGTTAAGTGCCTGACTCTTGATATCTGCTCAGGTCATGATCTCATGGTTCATGAGTTCAAGCTTTACGTCAAGGCTCTGCTTAGACAGTGAGAAGTCTGCTTGGGATTCTCTCTCTCTCTCCCTCTCTCTCTGCCCCTCTCCTGCTTTCTCTCTCTCTCTCTCTCTGTCTCTCAAAATAAACATTAAAAAATAAAATAAAATAATAAAATAAAATAAAAACAAAACAAAAGGAAAGAAAATGTTGAGCTAGTCTAATCAAATTTACTTTCTGTGTAACCTTAACTAGAAAACTCAAACAAATGAAAAAGTGATTAGCTGTGAAAACTGAAGCAGAAAGGTTTCAACAGAGTGAGTCTGAGACAACCATGACGACTCCTGTGCATACCTATGGCATAAGCAAACAGATGGTATGAATAATAAAAATTAATAGGGAAGAATGGAGAGAAGGGATGTGGGAGATGAACAGACCCCATGAGCAAGATTAAGTTGTTCGTGAGAGACAGAGAGAGTGGCAAGACCTAGAGCTCCCTTGAGCTTAGACAACTTTCTAGCTCCAGCCACATATATCGTCACTACAAGCACTTCCCAAATCCTGGCCTCCATGGTGTGAAGTAATTTGTATTTTTATTCAAAATATCCTGACTGGAAAAGCTAGTAATCTGCCATAACAGCCTTATCACACACCATCCATTATAAACAATAAAGGCATTCTTGGCATATCCATAGTCCTTAATAAGAAACAGCTATAGATGACTTACAGTCTCCAAGTCTCTTCTTGGGAGATCTCTATGGTAGAAGGAGATGGCAAGTGGGATGTGTAAGGCCCAGTACATCAGGAACAGGGGCGCCTGGGTGGCTCAGTGGGTTAAGCATCCGACTTCGGCTCAGGTCATGATCTCACCGTTCGTGGGTTCAAGCCCCGCGTTGGACTCTGTGCTGACAGCTCAGAGCCTGGAGCCTGCTTCGGATTTTGTGTCTCCCTCTCTCTCTCTCTGCCCCTCCCCTGCTCACACTCTGTCTCTCTCAAAAATAAACATTAAAAAAAAAAATAGGAACACATCAGGAACATCCATTTTCCCATTATATTGAATTTTCTTTAGCATAACATAAAGAAGGTTATATAGAAGGAGCCTAATTTCATACCATAACTGTGAACTAATGGTTTTATTTAATGAGACAATTTCCACATAGAGGAATTTGAAGAGAGGGGCCATTGCTCCTTCATATGTAGAACATTTCCTTGTGGTAGTGTTTTGGCTTCTGTTAAATAGAATCTATTTTGCAGGCAATATATGTCTGTAAGGTACCTTTAGCAGACCAAAACCCCATCCATTTCATAATATGATTGTCCTGAATATAAACAAGAATAAAAGTAAATATGCATCTGCAAAATGTATAGCAATTGAAGACTAAGCTCAAATAATCTGAATTCTGCACTAATACTCATTCAGTCGCTGATTAGGAAAATGTCATTCAGGGACCATGGTTTATTAAAATTAGCACTTATACAGAAGTGTGTGGTCAGCCCCATGAGTCCATTAAGACTCCTAATTTTACTTTGATTTATGCAGTAAAATGCCCTATGCATCTCTGTTCTGGGGACTATTGTATTTATTTAGCTTCTAAACACAGTTTGAAGTGGCTTTCTTCCAAGTAGTTTAAAAAAAATACACCCACAAAGCTATTTCTTGAAAAATAAGGCACCCTGGAAAGCAAGATAATTAAATAAAGGTATTTACTGCTACTCTTTGCATTTGCCATTTGATTAACCAGTTCCATACTAAATCCTTTAGATATTTTTTTTTATAAAACTCATTTTTGGGGTAGTCATTTCTCCTCAGGCCTCTCTTGTTTCTCAAGGTGCTTCCTGCTTAGTACGGAATCCATTTGCTATAATGAGTTTGCACACATTTCCATTTGCGCCTGATGAAACCAGGAGCTAGCCCAGATTCCCAGTTAGCAGAGCAATGTTCCCTTTCCATCTCAACCCATCACACACATAAATATTCAAAATTAGCAAACCCAAGAGCCAGAGACAGGAGGAGAACCAAACAATCTACTGGTAAGAGAAGGTTGAACAGCTGAAGCTTTATCTTCCTCTTAAACATAGGGTAATGGATCCTTGGATGGTAACTATCAGGTAAAAGCACTGTGGGTACCTCATCTGAAGTGTAGATTTGATTTCAAGTAAAGAAGAATTAGTGAAATTTATTGCTTTACTCCCTAGAAAGGATGTAGATCAAAAAGAAGCAAGTCCTCAAACCGTTTATCTCTAATCATTTCCCATTCTCTTAAAGTTCTGTGTATTTCTCCTGTGCTACTCTTTTATTCAACCTGGAGAAGACATGTTCCTGGAATTCCAGAATTTTTAAGATAGAAAGTATCACTAATTTAGTGTTCTGAATTTACAGTTAAATAAATGAGAGCCTGTTGAATTAATTAATACGTTAGTTTATTCACTACAAGTCTATTAAAAGGCTTCTGTGCCTGGCATGCCTCTTAGCTTCTAGGGATGGCCTCCAGAAGGCCTTTGCATTCCTTGGCTTGTAGATGCACCCCTTTAATCTCTGCCTCTGTCTTCACATGGTCTTTTTCTCTGTGTATTCACATGCCTTCTCTTCCCTCTGTGTCTCCTCTTTCTGTCTGTGCATTTTCTTCTTTTTTATTTTCTGAGTGTTTAATGTTTTTATTATTTATTTTTGGGAGAGAGAGCAAGACAGAGTGTAAGCAGGAAAAGGAACAGAGAGAGAAGGAGACACAGAATCTGAAGCAGGGTCCAGGCTCTGAGCTCTCAGCACAGAGCCT